GTGACGAGACACTACGCCGAAGCATACTGGCACCTAGAAACATTAAGCGTTTTGTATTGTCATTCATCCACTTGGCTGAACTAGGACTTTCAACTGAACAGAAAATTGGCAACTGATTTGGACAGTATTAAAGATCACCATATAATTTCGTTCTTTGGAAAATATCATCTATACGCACAAATTCTAAGTAAAGCCAAGATTACATCTGACCATTGGTCTTAGTAGGCCAAGCTTGGACTCGCAGACTCTATCAAGGTCAGGGTCGAGGCCCCAGGCGTGCAGCAGCGACATCAGAATCTGTGCAATCTCCATCGTGTGCGGGGGCTCCGCCAGTGACATGTCGCGGGGACGGTTCCGTTTCTGGTTGAGTTCATCTGGAACAATGCAATAATCATTATTATATACAAATGCTGTAGAATCTAGAGTAATCGATTTGATGAGATTTTACTTCTCACCCGATTATCTTAAATAGAACCATAGAACGATTGTTTTAATATGTGTTTGGGTTAAGAGATAAATAAGTAAGACGTAGAGTTTTGACTTAAGTTGAGTTTTGTTTTAAGAAATTCATTGTCTGTTATCATAGTCATATTACAAAATTAATTATAATGTAATATAGCGTTTCTTCGGTTGTGAAAATAACAAAAAAAAACCGCTAAACAAATACATTCGAATTTAATTGCATTTATTTAGGAATCTAGCGAATAATCACGAAACATTTATTACGTTACGCCTTTTAATTTCACATATTCACCGTTAAAAGTTGATTTTGTTATGTAATTGCGAAATATCTGACCTTGACGCTACTTTATTCAGATATACGTTGTGCGAACAAACTGGTATATAATTGGTACAAAAAAACTTTATGTTTATCTTGTTATAATGTTATTATCAATATAATTAACGACAAACGCATATAAATTATTCGATATATTTTCAACAAGCTGTAACAGTTTGAAAATCGTTTCCTGTTTCATTTATTGCGTTTTTTCAATTTGTGGCCATTTAAGTGCCTAGATCGATTTTGTCTAAAAATAAAAAAAAACAACTTGTATTTAGCACATTACTAATAATAATTAGACATTTGTTTTTTTAGTTTTCGTCATAAAAAAGTTTCATTTGCGTTTACTTTAATCTTCCTGAGTTTTGTCGCTGTTTGCAAAGAATATTCTAATCTCTTGTTGCCCGAATCATTGTTTGTTTTTAAGACAAAAATGTCTAGTCTAGACAAGAAAAATCGTTTAATTCGTATTAAATAAGTAGAAATATTCTTGTTGTGCCGGTAGCGATATGTATCGGAAACTGAAAGCAACTCTGGCATTCAAATGTCCAATCGTATTTACTATATTAGCCATGCTGAGATATTACACATCGGAGACTTTTATATAAACAATTACTCGTCATAATAATGATAATAACATTTAAAAAACCTCTATTTCATATACCTTGCATTGAACTGCTTGTATCAAGCATATTTTTACAAGTTATCTATGTTCAAAGAGAATGAGCGGGACAGATTCGGTAGTTATGCTCTATGGTTACCATACTTCGACCGCCATACAATAAGATCACGTTTTGTAATCGCCGTAGGCCGGCGGGGCGCGGTCAGCCTAGAACATGTCCAGCCTTGATGCCTATCCACAGTAGACACTACGCATTTACGTGACCTAAAGCTTTAAGCTTTAATACGGGCGTATAAAAGCCTCACTTCATTAACGTTTGAATTACTTTATTTATGATAGCTTTATTGCATGTTTACAATAGTAGCATAGCAAAAGCTTTGAAAAGTCTTTACCTATTACAAGTGTGTAAAAATTGCGACATTGTTTGGCATTTTTGTCTATAATTTTAAATTTTTTATAAATAACTTGAACAAACATATTTTATAAATTAATTGATACTTTACCGGTCGCTTTATTTTACACTAGTTTTCGCCAAGGTTAGAGTGGTATGGGCATGTTATGAGAAGGGATGAATCGCATGTAACAAGACGGACGTTAGTTATGAATGTGGAGGGGTATACCGGTAGAGATAGACCTAAGAAGAGATGGATGAATTGCGTGAAAGGTCATGATCAAGAAGGGAGTGATGACTATGATGACGGATGATAGAGTGCTTTGGAGGACGAAAACCCGGTGCGCCGACCCTACGGGAGTAGGATAAGGCAGGGGAGATGATGATGATTTTCGCCTGTAACTCTGTCCGCTTGGAATTTAAAGAAAAACAAAAGCAAGTAGCCTATGCGGTCTTCCAGGCCTTCTTTATATCTCTTTCAAATGTCGTTGATATCCGTCCATACGTTTAAGCTACAAACTCTTCGCATTATACTAATATTATAAATGCAAAGCTATTTTATAATATTAGTAAGATTTGTTCCTAGGGCGGTATTAGGTTTGGGCTCGCCGGTGCCGCATTCGTGGGCCTTATGCAACAATCCTTAGCTTAAATATCGCAAGTGTAACTAGGAAATAGATTTTATTTCATCATGATACCGCAGACTGGTTATCTATACTATTATAATAAAGCGTAAACACACACTTTTGTTGCCTAAGAAGTCAGCAATTACAGCGTATTTTTGAATAATCCTTTTTTTTTTAATAAAAAGCCCTACACTTACCTCACGCTTTAGGCTATATATTTTCACGCCATTAAATTTAGGGGGTTAATATTTTGAATAAAACCCCTAATGTGGAAAGAGACCATAAGTTGCTGCCAACATCAAGGAAGCAAGGTTGCCATCGTCATATCATTTTGACATTTGCTATTGATAATTTGACAAATGTAAACAATAAAAAAAAATTCATAATTTCATGCGGATGAAGCCGCATGGGAACAGCTAGTTTACTTATAATATATGTAGAAAGAATATGCGTATACTTAATTTCCTCAATAATACAAGAAAACTTTTTATTACATAAGTTTAAAGTTAAAACCTATTATAGAATCACTTTGGTATTTTAAGTTTAAAATCGATATTAAAATGTCAACGATAACCTTTGGGATTTTGAGGTTATTCGACCTTTGTTCAAGGGACTTTCCTTATGTTAAGGCAAAACTGTAACAATTCTTGACATTTGATATCGGACGTTTTTATCTTGATTGCGAAAGCGTGGGTTTTAACCTCTGAAATACCTGTATTGTATACTTTGCAAGGATAATGAGAGGTTAAAATAAGCTGCTTAGTAATTAATTAACCTTTTTTTATTAGAATTACTATTCTATCATCATATACTAGCTTTTACCCGAGACTCCGTCCGCGTGAAATTTATAAATGATAATAAAGAAATGGAAAAAAAATGTAGCCTAAGTTACTCATAGATAAGTAACCTTTCTAACGGTAAAAGAATTTTTAAAATCAGCCTAGTAGTTTTTGAGCCTATTCATTACAATCAAACAAAGTTTTCCTCTTTATAATATTAGTGTAGAAGTAAAGGTTTATTTTGTTACTACAATTTTATTCATTTTTCATATTTTTCCGCCGCTCCTATTCCTGTCTTTTTTATTGTGTTTCTTAATGATTTTAGAGGTTTAATAAATGACAATCGTCTGAATTTTTATTCTCGAAGTTTCCAGTCATAGAATGTGTGTGTTAACAGACGACAGATGGCGCGCAACTGTTCTTCATATCTCACATCTAGACTATAAATGGTAACAGAAACAATGACTGAGATTGTTTGAGGGCAAGTCACTGTGCTATGGGAACAGATTATTAGGGTTGTCAATTTATTTAAAACCAAAATACAATTAAAGATTTGAATTTACTAAGATAATTTTATCTATTCACCTTTGTTAGATTAATAAACTATAATTATTTCTCAAGAATATTTGAAATGCCCTATTGCCGTTTTAAAATAAGGTCGTGATTAATTATCTTTTGACCGTAACTAATTAGATTTATCATAACAATAGGTAATAACTTTAATTTAAAACTATATTTTAACGTTATAAATATTAAATTACAAATCTTAACAACCCTTAAAGGTGTATTTTAAATTCGATTTCCTGCTTGTACATTTTGAACTTTAAAACGATAATAATTGGAGTGTAATGTTACAATTAGTCAACATGTGGGCATGTGTCGGTCCACATAAGGTCTGGTGTCAAACTTGTATGACCACAAATGTCAAGGTGGCAATTACAATCGAGAACTGAACAAGTGTTGTTGAAAGGATAACATAGTTCAGGTTGTTTGGCAAACGAGATAAATAAAAACCCTTTTGATATTCCTCATAGCTATTCTTTGCGATTTAGACAATTGCAGTTTTTTTTAATATCTATGAAAAAGTTTGCTATTAAATTTTTACAGTCAGTTTTTCACCTTTTTTTATAATATAAGGTGGCAAACGAGCAAGCGGCCACCTGAATCCGCCAAAATAGTGAAACGACCGCTGCCCATAGACATCCGCAATTGCAGATGCGTTGCCTACCCTTATCCAACAGAGGAGACGCACATGAAGAGAATATCTCCCCTTCCTATGTATCTCCTCCTCCGTCAAATCCACTTCCCCTTCCCATCCTCTCCTTATAAAAAAAGGGTGGTAAAGAGAAAGGGACTTAAATTAGGGCTCCGGCAACACACTCATCAGACGAAACACGGAATTACTACCATTTCACGCCTGTCTTCTGTGTGGTCGTGGTATTACACCGGGCGTGCCGGCCTATTCGTTCTAAGATGTTAAAGCGGGCACTACCACTGGTAGCTTTCATGAGTTTACGAGTATTTAATATTATTCTACGTATATCTTTTGGTTATCCATTCATTTTACATTAAGACTGTAATGACTAAGTAAATTGAATCATGATACTCATTAAATGTCAATAAAGCGGTATGAAAATGTCAAATTAGTAAAGTTAAATACATATGAATAACCCAACGCTTTTGCTCAGAAGCAAACATCCAAATATTATCTAACATGAATTTATTTAAAAGATCAAACTCTTTTAGATAGAATAATAACATTATTAAATTAAAACAATAAAAACACATGCATTTAATGTCCTATTGTTTTATATTTATCGAATCATTTAATAAATATATTTCTGTTCTCTGAGCAATAAGGATAATAAGAATGGAGTGGGACAAGGCTACTGACTGGTATTTACTCTGGCACCGGCGAAATGACAACTTGTCTCCGGATCTATGCAATAACGGGCGCCTACTGGCTTGTATAGTGATGTGCTATGTTTATCGATAAAAATATTTGAACGTTAAAGTTTTTTCAATTCTCCTTGTACGCGATTTTATTTTATTATGTAGTAAGATTGCTACTTAATAAGCTTTAATTTGTTTACCATATAGTAATTACTGTCAGTATTTTTTATTTAGTTGTATCTGCTTGCTTCGTATAGTAACATATTATTTGCAGGTTGTATG